TAGTGGGAAGCAGCCGCATAGCACAGGGAGATCTGCTCGGTGCTTTATGACCACCTAGAGGGGTGGGATACGGAGGGTGGGAGGGAGGGAGATGCAAGAGGGAAGAGATATGGGAACATAGGTATATGAATAACTGATTCACTTTGTTATAAACAGAAACTAAGACACCACTGTAAAGGAATTATACTCCAATTAAAATGTTAAAAAAAAAAATCTTTCACAAACAAAAGCACAGGACCAGATGGTTTCACAGAAGAATTCTATCCAACATTTAGAGAAGAGCTAACACCTATCCTTCTCAAACTCTTCCAAAATATAGCAGACGGAGGAATACTCCCAAACTCATTCTATGAGGCCACCATCATCTTGACACCAAAACCAGACAAAGATGTCACAAAAAAAGAAAGCTACAGGCCAATATCACTGATGAACACAGATGCAAAAATGCTCAGTAAAATACTAGCAAACAGAATCCAACAGCACATTAAAAGGATCATACACCATAATCAAGTGGGGTTTATCTCTGGAATGCAAGGATTCTTCAATATCCGCAAATCAATCAATGTGATACAGCATATTAACAAACTGAAGGAGAAAAACCATATGATCATCTCAAGAGATGCAGAAAAAGCTTTTGACCAAATTCAACACCCATTTATGATAAAAACCCTTCAGAAAGTGGGCATAGAGGGAACTTACCTCAACATAATAAAGGCCATATATGACAAACCCACAGCCAACATTGTCCTCAATGGTGAAAAACTGAAACCATTCCCACTAAGATGAGGAACAAGACAAGGATGTCCACTCTCCCCACTATTATTCAACATAGTTTGGAAGTTTTAGCCACAGCAATCACAGAAGAAAAAGCAATAAAAGGATTCCAAATCAGAAAGGAAAAAGTAAAATTGTCACTCTTTGCAGATGACAAGACACTACACATAGAGAATCCTAAAGATGCTACCAGAAAACTACTAGAGCTAATCAATGAATTTGGTAAAGTAGCAGGATACAAAATTAATGCACAGAAATCCCTTGCATTCCTATACACTAATGATGAAAAATCTGAAAGAAACATTAAGGAAACACTCACATTTACCACTGCAACAAAAATAATAAAATACTTAGGAATAAACCTACCTATGGAGACAAAAGACCTGTATGCAGAAAATTATAAGACACTGATGAAAGAAATTAAACATGATACAAACAGATGAAGAGATATACCATGTTCTTGGACTGGAAGAATCAACATTTTGAAAATGACTGTACTACCCAAAGCAATCTACAGATTTAATGCAATCCCTATCAAACTACCACTGGCATTTTTCACAGAACTAGAACAAAAAATTTCACAGTTTGTATGGAAACATAAAAGACCCCAAATAGCCAAAAGCAATCTTCAGAAAGAAATACGGAGCTGGAGAAATCAGGGTCCCTGACTTCAGACTATACTACAAAGCTACAGTAATGAAGACAGTATGGTACTGGCACAAAAACAGAAATAGAGATCGATGGAACAGGAGAGAAAGCACAGATATAAAACCACTCATATATGGTCACCTTATCTTTGATAAAGGAGGCAGAAATATACAATGGAGAAAAGGCAGCCTATTCAATAAGTGGTGCTGTGAAAACTAGACAGCTACATGTAAAAGAATGAAATTAAACACTTCCTAACACCATACACAAAAATAAACTCAAAATGGATTAAAGACCTAAATGTAAGGTCAGACACTATCAAACTCTTAGAGGAAAACATAGGCAGAACACTCTATGACATAAATCATAGCAAGATCCTCTTTGACCCACCTCCTAGAGAAATGGAAATAAAAACAAAAATAAACAAATGAGACCTAATGAAACTTAAAAGCTTTTGCATTGCAAAGGAAACCATAAACAAGACGAAAGGACAACCCTCAGAATGGGAGAAAATATTTGCAAACACAGCGTCTAACAAAGGATTAATCTCCAAAATATACAAGCAGCTTGTGCAGCTCAATATGAAAACAACAAAACAATCCAATCCAAAAGTGGACACAACACCTAAATAGACATCTCCAAAGAAGATATACAGATTGCCAAGAAACACATGAAAGGATGTTCAACATCACTAATCATTAGAGAAATGCAAATCAAAACTACAATGAGGCACCACCTCACACCGGTCGGAATGGCCATCATCAAAAAATCTACAAACAATAAATGTTGGAGAGGGTGTAGAAAAAAGGGAACCCTCTTGCACTGTTGGTGGGAATGTAAATTGATACAGCCCCTATGGAGAACAGTATGGAGCTTCCTTCAAAAACTAAAAATGGAACTACCATACGACCCAGCAATCCTACTACTGGGCATATACCCTGAGAAAACCATTCAAAAGAGTCATGTACCACAATGTTCACTGCAGCTCTATTTACAATAGCCAGGACACGGAAGCAACCTAAGTGTCCATCGACAGATGAAAGGATAAAGAAGATGTGGCACATATATACAATGGAATATTACTCAGCCCTAAAAAGAAACGAAATTGAGTTATTTGTAGTGAGGTGTATGGACCTAGAGTCTGTCATACAGAGTGAAGTAAGTCAGAAAGAGAAAAACAAATACTGTATGCCAACACATATTTATGAAATCTTAAAAAAAAAAAAATTGGTTCTGAAGAACCTAGGGGCAGGACAGGAATAAAGACGCAGATGTAGAGAATGTACTTGAGGACATGGGGAGGGGGAAGGGTAAGCTGGGATGAAGTGAGAGAGTGACACGGGCATATATACACTACCAAATGTAAAATAGATAGCTAGTGGGAAGCAGCTGCACAGCACAGGGAGATCAACTCTGTGCTCTGTTTCCAACTAGAGGGGTGGGATAAGGAGGGTGGAAGGAAGATGCAAGAAGGAGGAGATATGGGGATATATGTATACATATAGCTGATGCACTTTGTTATACAGCAGAAACTAACACACCACTGTAAAGCAATTATACTCCACCAAAGATGTTAAAAAAAAGAAGAAATGTAAGGCTGACCTTACATAACTGATTCGGTTATGTGGACTATATTTAATTATATAAATTAAACCCAAGACTTTGAAAAATTGATGGATTAGTCAATTTTAGAGGAGTCCTGAACTTTTAAGATATACGAAGAAAGGTAATATGCACATTTTAAAACTCTTTTTATTCCAGAAGCATTCTAATCATTTAGTTCTAAAAACAGAATTGAATACCACCAAGTTACTCAAATGGCAAGAGAGTTAAAACAGAAAAGTTCCAAAGATTTCAAAGAGAAGCAGACAGATCAAAATCTTTTCGTTTTAATGTTTTCAAAAATGTATTTTGCAATTATAAATTGGTTTTTACTGTAGTAATATTTTAAATGGTCCCAAAATATAGGAATGGTTATGAAAATTACGATATATATATATACATTATGTAGCCATCAAAAATGTTTATGAAGATCTTATAACATCATGAGAAGATGTTTGTTGCAATGGTAAGTTAAAAGAGCAGAACTCAAAATTCCATATATAGTATAATCCCAGCTAAATTTTAAAAATCATTTAGAAGAAAAAAATATTAAAAGGAAATATACCAAAATATTAACAGGAGAAGTTTGAGTAGTGGAGAAAGGGTTTGTTTTCCTATTTTTTTCTCTTTTCTTTATGACATTTACAATGGAGAAAGTATAATACTAATTTTTTCTAAGTTCTATACAAAGATAATTTTATAAGGTCACTTAATCTAGCCATTACTGAGGTAACAGAAAAAAGCATTTAAACAAGTCATTAAGCTATCACATTTTAAGTGTAAAATTCGGTAAAAATTGGATTGAAAGTAGGCAAATTCTCACCTCAAGGCCGATCATTTTAATTTGACAACTGAGTTTTAATGAAACCATTAAAGTAGACTTCCCAGGACTTCCATGGTGGTGCAGTGGATAGGACTCCGAGCTCCCAACGCAGGGGGCCCAGGTTCAATTCCTGGTCAGGGAACTATATCCTACATGCATGCTGCAACTAAGAGATCGTATGCCAAAACTGGGGAGCCCTTGTGCCACAACTAAGGAGCCAGCAATCCGCAACTAGGGAGGCTGCCTGCTGAAACTAAGGAGCCCTGGAGCTGCAACTAAGGAGCCCATGTGCCACAACTAAGGACCCCACCTGCGGCAACTAAGACCTGGTGCAACCAAATAAATAAATATTTTTTTAAAAAGATGTTTAGGGGGCTTCCCTGGTGGTGCAGTGGTTGACAGTCCGCCTGCCAGTGCAGAGGGCGCGGGTTCATGCCCTGGTCCGGGAGGATTCCACGTGCCGCGGAGCAGCTAGGCCCATGAGCCATGGCCATTAAGCCTGCGCGTCCGGAGCCTGTGCTCCGCAACGGGAGAGGCCACAGCAGTGAGGGGTCCGTGTACCACAAAAAAAAAAAAAAAAAAGATGTTTAGGGTCTTCCCTGGTGGTGCAGTGGTTAAGAATCTGCCTGCCAATGCAGGGGATACGAGTTCGAGCCGTGGTCCGGGACGACCCCACATGTCATGGAGCAACTAAGCCTTTGCACCACAACTAATGAGCCTGTGCTCTAGAGCCCATGTGCCACAACTACTGGAGCCCGCGTGCCACAACTACTGAAGCCTGCGCGCCTAGTGCCCATGCTCTGCAACAAAAGAAGCCACCGCAATGAGAAGCCCGCACACTGCAACACAGAGTAGCCCCCGTTCACCACAACTAGAGAAAGCCCATGCACAGTGACAAAGACCCAACGCAGACAAAAATAAATATTTTAAAAAAAGATGTTTAAAATAAACAAAGTATACTTCCCTATCAAAATCACAGAGAAGATAATCACTAGACAAAAAGATAGAAACAAAAAACAACCTACTACTGAGTTTGTATTTTCCAAATCATACATGTGAGTTAACTCACATAATAAAGGCTGCCAGTGTTACAGATAGCCTGTGTTTATTACATGTTCCTCATAGGCAAAATAGGAAAATAGTGTGGTCTTACTTGTGAAATATGATTGATTGAAGACTCCATCCTTCGAAGTTGGGACGCCTGGATATCCAGCATCTGAAGGACATTGTTGGCCAAGGTATTTATCAGATAGGCAACACTTGCTAAGGACTGGGTGGTGTAGGCTTTGGTTTCTTCTAGGGCTCGCTGCTTATCTGCTGACTAGAAAAACAAACAAACAATCATTACTTCAAAGATAACCCATTCTATCAATCTAATCTTCAAAAATACTCATCAAAACCATTATGTTGCTGAATCTACACACACTAGTGTAAAATGCTTTGAAAACTAATTGTCAGTATTCATGTAAACCCAACAACTAAATTATTGACTTGACTTCACTAATATTTTCACGTTGAATAGTTTCATCTTTGTACAGATGCAAATAAAATCCCAAAGCTGTTGTTTAAAAAATGAGATCCGATGGATATTTTGAGTAATGACAGCAAGTACAGTACATAGCTTCTCAAGGTCCCTGCTTGGAAAGGTAGCATTGATTTGAATGAGTAAATTCTGGCGTACATTTTTCTACTTTCCTGAATTCCTCTTTTCCTTTCACTCTAACACGTAAAATGCATTTATAAAGAAATGTCTGTTTAAAGTAATAATGACAAAATAATAAATAAAAATGACGAAGTAAATAAAATGGTAATAATCATGATAAATAATGATAAAATAAAAGGACACTTTCTTCCCAAGCATCTTAAGTATTATAACCCTATGGAACATAAACTGCCATGTATCATAAACCCTACTTGAAAAACGGAGAGTACACAGTAAAAAGTGGTTAAGTGATTATTTCCAAGGTCACAAAGGAAAGCAATGGTAAAGTTACATATTCTATACTGCTGGCAAACACCATTTTCTTGCCCTAGTTCTACAGAAAGACTCTATGGTTCAGTAGAATGTATACAAGTGTCTGAATCAGAAACCTTTTATCTTAATGTCAGTTCTACTATTACAGCATGTCATATTTTAAGCAGTTGTGAACATCAAGTAAGATAATGAATGTAAAACCACTTTCTAATACTATAAATCATTATATCTAACGACCGTCATTACCTCTTTGAGTAGTCATTAAATGTTCAAAGTCCACTATGTCCCACTCTCCCCTCTCCCACACCGTTTAGGACTCTAAACTTCTTTAGGACTCTAAACTTCTAAACTTAGCTTAGAAAAACAGTCAAATAAGAAAAAGACACAGACAAGGATGTACACTGACAGTTAATGGTGAAAAAGAAAATACATGAGACTGATTAAACAATACATTCATATACTACCTTTATGCAGTAACGAAAATAGTATTGTTATTGTTATATGGAAAAATATCTACAAAATAACTAATTGAAAGAGAGCTGGTTACAAAGTACCTTAACACAATCATCCTAATTTTGTAGGTGCCTGTGTATAAATGTAAGCAACAAGAAAAAAGTCAGAAAAAGTAAGGCCCAAAATGTTAACATAAGTTTTCTCTGAATGTTAGGAATACAATTTGAGTCTTTTAATGCTTTTTAATATGGTCTATTTTTTTTTTTTACCTTGGGCATAAATACTTGTGTTAGCAGAAAAAGTAAAGCTATATTACTTTGTAAACCATAATGCATGCATTAATACAAAAGAGCAAACTTTAAGTGCTCTGTCCTAGTCAACTACTCACAAGTAATATTTGTAAGGAATAAGAGCACCAAAAACAATTTTTTTAATCCTTCTGAAATGTATTTTACATTTGCACACTTATTTAAACAATGATTTTGGGCTCAAGAGATTTATCTTGCTATTTCTAAGCGCCAAATGAAGCTTTAAAGTGTTGAGGCTGCTGCACGTCTGCTGTATGGATAAGTCAACCCTCGTACATTCACTAAGGTTTTATAAGAGCCTAATTTTACAAGAGCGGATATTCTAAGTTTTAGAGTTTTGTGCTTGCTTCAGCAGCACATATTCTAAATTTGAGATTGTTTTCCTATAAAGTTAAGTGCTGAATAAAAACATGAATAAATGCAAACAGAACCTATTTCAATAAAACTGATATCAAAATTGCTACTTTAACCTAGAAGCCTTATAAATGACAATAGAGAAGCTACAATATCTTATTTTACATGTAAGAAATAGTGAACAACACTGTAATAGAGGTTATTTTGTAATTCTTAAACAATGTATAAGTAAACACCTGTGACTATATTCTTATCTTTTGCTACAACCAAGTTTAATTATCACAGTTATAGTTCACGCATTAAAGGCACTATGACACCTCAACCCAGTTATCTAATATTCCTACTTAAATGGGATTAAGTTCCTGAAAAAAAGAAGAAATTTAGATAAAGGAGAAAATTATCACAGGCTTATAGAGGAATATTATAATGTATGCTATGGTAAGTACAAATAGTCCTATGAGAAAAGATTTTTACATAGAATAAAGTGACTTATTGCCAAGATCCATCCTAGGCAATGATCAATCCTTCCTACTTTGTTATTTCTTCACTTTCCCTTATGATACTTTCTTATCTCCACAAGGAGATGTTCCCAAAGACTCTCTTCAGACTACTCTTCTTGCTGTACTTGCAACCCTTAGAAAGAAATTTCACTCCTTCCTTAGCTATCACTTCCAAGCACAGAATTTTTAAATCTGTTTACATCTTAACTTCCATCTCTCCCAAACCCATATTTCTGTTTACATGGCACCTCACCGCGTATGTGCCGTATCAGTGTATCTATAACTCAACCACCTTCCCCAAAACTACTTCCTCCTACTTTTGTTAATAACATTATTACTCCATCACCTCAGATATTTTCCAAGTCTCTGTATCCTACGCCTAATCCGTTTACATGATCCTTACGTTCTATCTGTGCCAACACATCATTTCCTTTCTTTCAACTGCTACTGCCTACATTCTACTTCAGGCCCTCGTTATCTCTTGCCAGGACTACTATACCAGTTTCTAGGTCAGATTGTAGTATCTTACACGTGGTCCTGCAGATTCATCTTTCTAAATCAGTTCTGAAGCCCCCCAGAGCTTCATCTTACATACTTAAATAAAAACTTTACTTATCATTTACAGTCTTCCTTAATATGGCCTAAAACTTATCTTCCATTCAACCCTACTTGAACCTTAGATTACAGTTTAATTAGACTTAACGGTTCACAAAACAGACCTTGGTTTCTTACCTTTGTGCCTTTGCCTATTTTCTTCACCTGAACCCATCAACTTCACCAACAACCCATCCTCTACCTTATCATCCCTGATTGTGATACTGATCATTTCTTACTGAGAATTCCCAAAGGATTTTGTTTTCAGGTTTACGGCACATACTATATAACATCGGGCTGGCCATAAAGTTCATTTGGGTTTTTCGCAAGGTGTTACGGAAAAACCCAAATGAACTTTTGGGCCAACCCAGTATGTGCATGTTTCATTGACCCAAACTCCCACACCCCCTAGTGGAAAGACCTTGAGGGTAAGTATTATGCTTTCACATCACATTACACACAGGCATTACATATTATCTGTTTAAGTGTATCTACCAAAATGTTCCAGAGAATCAAAGTTACTTCTATCACCCAATAGGCAGTGAGGGTGGGGAGGAAGAAGTGATATAAGAAAGATTTCTTTGACCTCCAGAAGCTTTGGCACCATCCATGGTACTCATGGCTTACTGTGTACCCCTAAAAAGAAAGTTCAAACTTGTTTTTCAATTTGATGCTCTAGGATGGGTGCTGAGAAATATGAAGAATAAGAACGTTGCATCCTCTAGAGCAGCTCAAGACTATAGTATTATTACCACTAGGTTACTCCCAATATTTATTTTTCCTTTTCACTTCTACTAATAGGAAAACAGATTTGGTAGAGATTTAAGTATATAGATAATGGGGAGGGGGCAGGAAAACAATGATAATATTTAAGACGGACGTGTATGGACATGCAGGAGAGAATTCTCCTCTACAGATCACACCCTTGAGATCTACTGTCCGTTTCTTTCTCTTTTCCAGCAGTAAATCTCTCACCCACTCTAGTCCAGCCTATTACTCTACTTGTATGTAATGTAATTATTTTTGCTCTGGGTATAAACTATTACCACATTAGTTAAAGTACAGGTACTAAGTTCTCATTCAATCAGTTATCTAAAGTATTAAACAATTTCTTCTAGACCTGCCATGATTAATTTCATTTCATCAGTTCCTTTCAATAAACCCTTATTGACTGAATGTATATTACATGACAGGCATTGTACTATGTACTAGAATATGAAAATGAAACACGTTCTCTGCACTCAAGAAGATTTTAGTCCAATACAGAGAAAAGCATATAAAACAGAAAATGTCAATGCAGAATGGTCAGGGATATGAATGCCATCCAACTAGGAACACTATCTTATATGACCATCCAAGTGGAGTCTCACAGAACGGAGTTAATCCTGCCAAGCAGGAGTAAGAGAAGATATTCCAGGCAGAGCAAACAGCCTGAACAAGGGCACAGAGGCATGAAAAAGATTCCTGAATCCAGAACACATGTAAGTTTGGTATTATTAACATATCATCAGTTCACTACTGCCCCTACTTTAAGACTGAGACATGTGCTGTAAGATTAGTATAGTAACTAACCGTTTTCTTTCTCACAAAGTTGTTAAGAAATTAAAATATCACACATATAATTAACCTAGTAAGGTCATGGCAGAGTCATAGCACCTGATTCAATAATGGGGCTGAGGAGAGGGGAGTATTCTTAGATTACCTATTTACTGAGCTTTCAATTCTGCATTCCAAAAAATTTTGTCACTAAACCAAATTGAAAAGAAAGGTCCCATCACTAAATCTCACAGAAATTAAAGTAATAGCTTCTAAAATATATGCCAAGGGCTTCCCTGGTGGTGCAGTGGTTGAGAGTCCACCTGCCAATGCAGGGGACGTGGGTTTGTGCCCTGGTCTGGGAAGATCCCACATGACGCGGAGTGGCTGGGCCCGTGAGCCATGGCCGCTGAGCCTGCGCGTCCGGAGCCTGTGCTCCACAACGGGAGAGGCCACAACAGTGAGAGGCCCGCGTACTGCAAATAATAATAATAATAATAAAATAAAACATATGCCAATCATTATATACAAATAGAAAAATTTTGCCAAAAGACCATACAAAATATTAGAAATATACTTATGTCTTCAGAATTGTTCAAAT